ATGTCTAAGCACACTGGAAGCTACTCAATGTTAGCTATTACTAGTGGATTTCAAGTTTATTTTAAAAGTATTCATTTGTATATGGTAAATGTACACACATGGGAAAAGTGTGAAGTATGTGTACAGTGTATGCCTATATAAATATCCAGATGTATACAAGCATGGTGGCTGGAAGGAGATTTCAGGTGTCCTGCTCTCTCCCTGACATAATCCCTTTAGACAGACTCTCAATCTGAAGTTAAGCAGCCGATCAGCAAGTTCCAGTGATGTTTCTGTCTCCGTCCCTCCCACAATGCTGGGATTACAGGCATCCCTGAGCAATACATGGGTTCTAGGGATTTGAACTCAGGTCCTTGTGCTTGCCCTTGAGTGCTTTTACCCTAGTCCTGAACCTTAAATTTTAAGTGGCAACACACAAGTAATCAACTCTAATTAAAGTATAAAGTGAATACTTGCCTCTGATACTGACAGACCAATCCTTAGAAGTTCTTCGGCTAGTTCCAGAAGAGCTCCAGCAAATACCAGAACAAAGTTGGTGCCATCTCCAACCTCTTGCTCTTGCATATGAGAGGCCATCACAATCATTTTTGCAGCAGGATGTTGTACCTGATATAAAGGGATTATCGAGTGAAAACATTTTATACTTAGAGGAACATAAAGTCATTCATTTCCATTTCTTAATAGACTAACTTCCCTGGAGGGCAGGTAAATGCCACCCTATCAGTTACAACTGTTGCCTATCAGCCCAAATGAAAACAATTTTAAAGCACAGCTGACAATCATCCATTACATACAGTTCCACAAGCCTAGCACATTTATACCTAAATTAGAAAAGAAAGTATTTCCACCTATTAAACTCAGCAATTTTGAGCAGTCTTTAGAAGAGAAGCTGGGTGTGATGGCACACACTTTTCAACTGTCATCTTCTCATCCACCTGGCATAAAACTCTAGGATCATCTCTGACTCCCATCCCTCCTCCATGTTATGTCTAACACAATGTCCCGCCAATTCTCTCCATGTGTTGACTTTCTAATGTTTAAATAAAAATACTTAGCTGGGCATGGTGGCAAACACCTTTAATCTCAGCACTCGGGAGGCAGAGGCAGGCAGATCTCTGAGTTTGAGGCCAGTCTGGTCCAGGACAGCCAGGACTACACAGAGAAACCCTGTCTCAAAAACGTCTTTGGAAGAACTAAGACAGACATCACTCAACTTAGATTAAGAATCTCAGCATCACATATTTTTAAACATGCTCTTGTTTAAAAATCAAAAGAAACATAAAACAACTTTTTTTTTTTTTTTGGCGACAGAGTACATGCAGCTCATTCTGTACCTGAGGATGACTTTGCCTCCCCCACCCCACCCCCCCTTTTTTTTTGAGACAGTTTCTCTGTGTAGCCCTGGCTGTCCTGGAACTCCCTGAGATCCACCTGCCTCTCCTGAATGCTAGGATCAAAGGCCTCCACATCCTCAGTGCCAGCACACTCAGATTATACAGTGTTGGGAATCAAACCCTGGCCAGACACCCTACTAAAATGCATCCCCAAGTCTGAAAGTACATTTTAAAAAGCATCAAAATTCTCACGTTCTTAGGAGTTAATTAATATTAGATACGCTTCAATTTAAATTTGTAATAATGGGAACTGAACCTGGGGCTTTGTGCTTGCTAGGCAAGTGCTGTATCACTGAGCTATATCCCTAGTCCACTTTTAGATCTTTACAGAACAAGGAGTATCGCCAACTCTAAGAAGGTTTATTTTTATTTTTTAATTATGTGTCTGTGTGTGGCTCTGTGTGAATGCAGGTGCCTGGAGCCTGAAAGTGTATTAGATCCCTCAGAGCTGTGGTTACACGTGGTTGTGAGCTGCCTGATGTGGGTGCTGGCAACTGAGCAGTATGCACTCTTAACCGTCAAGTCATCTCTCCAGTTCTACTCAATACTTTTTTAATTCCTGAGAATGCTAACATAGCCTAACCTAAACAATTACCACGAAAAATTCCTCCACAAATATTCTGTAAAGTTAACTTCTCCTTAGCGTATCATTCTTTAAGATGTTAAAGGAATGTTAATTTTTCTCATTTTCTTTAAAACAGATTTAAGTTCTCATCTAATACTTTTAAATAAAGCTATGCTTTTGGAAAATTTCCCAAGTCTGAGTATGTACTCATAAAACTACAAGGTTTACTAGGATGAGAAACGGGTGTCAAACATCTCTTTTATCCCTCCCTGCTTTAAGTATCTGTTCTACAGACTCTTCAACATCAAACCTGCTGCAAAAGAAAGCAAAATTCCAACGGGTTCTTAAACAAAGCATCAATATTTCATGAGAAACTTTGCATTAGTATCAGTCTACAGAATGAAGACTTAGTCATAGCAATACTCCACAAGCCCTCCATAAAATAACAACAAGGACAGTTTTCTGAGTAGCCACAATGGTGCACTGTTTTGGTCACTTACAAATCCTCACAATAAGCTCGAGGAAGCAGCAGCCCTCTATCACCTAATGAAGTAAGGCTTCATCTATGTTAGAACTGTTTTTTTGGGGGTGGTTTTGGAAAAACTTACCTCTAGCTCTCTTAAAATAGTCGCCGCATCATTTGTCACGAAGAGCTTCTCCAGGCGATTGATGACCATTTTATTCATTCCTCAAAACACAGTTGCAATGAAAAAAAAAATCCATCATTATTTAGATATTCTCCTAAGTAACCCAGGAAAAACATGGCTCAGAAGTTGTACTGATGAACCCTACGCACACAGTATCTGTATTTTCAGAACTACCACACAGCCCACAGGCTTTCCCTGACTAAACATCCACATGCTTAGCATGTAGAAAGCGCTCAATAAATAGGAATTAACACATACAAAATTAATATACTTAGAACCACATTTGGTCTCATGCTTAATCCTCTAGTCTGTATCTAATTCAACTTGTGGTTAAAGGTAAGAGTTTCCTTAAACTCTCAATTTTGGAAACTGCTCAGCCTTTTCCATTATAAACAGCTATGTCAATAGTGAAAGTACTATAATACTCCTATCATGTAATAGGATAACAGTATCATTTTTTGATTTTTCTAGAAAGCTGAATTTCTGATTGACAGTTAGAAGCACACCAGTGCTATCAACTACAAAACCTGCAAGAACTACCCTGTGCATTTAACACCTTCAGGATAAACATGTGACAGGAGCTAACACAAGTACACCACCATGTCTTTTATAGCCTGAATTTGGCCATTACCATTTGGTCCATATGCTGTACGAGTAGTTTGAGCAAGCTCCTTGCAAGCTTGTATATTTCTATACACAGCCTCTTCTAATCCTGAAAAATGCTGCAAAAGAAAACATCTGCTTAAATCGGATCATGAAGTACTTTCAAACACAGGATATCTCTGTTCATCATGTTTCTAATAAAGTCCCAGGATCAAACAAGCATTTAGCACATGGAATCTGGAGTCCAAACAGCCTCAAGTTTCCCCCTAACTTAGTACAAGGCCCAGGTAACTAACACTTGCTACTTGACAAATTGTTTAGAAACATCTACTGAAGAACTATTTTTCCCTCCCACTCTTACCCAGGGATTGAACCCAAAAAATCAATCTACCATGAAGCTACAATCCAAGCCAATCAGTACTAGCTTTTAATTCGAAATTCTTTTTGGGGACTTACAGGTTGTCTTCAAGTCCTCTCAGTACCAATTTACATAACGTTACCTCAGTTAAAATACCAGTCTCTGAGTGAGACAAATGCTTTACATGTACCATTTTCTCAATCTAAGTGAGGGAGGTAGACCCAAATGGGAAGCTATGATACCCCACCATGCCGCAAAGGGAATCACCAATATCATTTTCCAGAACTCACCAACTTACATTACATTCTGACATCCATTTCGTGTGCCCAAGTTACCACCAAAATGCTCTCTAAAACTGTTAAGGGTCCTCGATTTCCCCTAAGACCTTAAATTCAATTCACTTATCTATTTGTACAAGTCTCAGTAATATGGAAAACAAGACGAAATTATCTGGCAGCTTATATATCTCTCGGCAAATGACTCCACAGGCAGCGTGATACTTTATCAAAAAAAAAAAAAATCACTTCTGAAATCAGGTTCAAGAGGGAACACTATTTTATCTGGGCTGCGGCCTCACTTATCTATCCTGTGGGCTACAATGTGGAATAGTCGGAATTCGAATATATTAACATCTTTTGGCCCAGTCTCCTGAATTCAGAAAAGATAAAGAAGACATGACTCGGAGAGGTCGGTTTTCGGTATAAAACCTAAGTTGGGATCAGGTACCTATGGAGGGAGTCATGTCTCTCACTGGGAAGGAAGCAATCAAGAGCAGGCCCAGTGGCTGCGAGGCCGGGCCGGGCTCCTGTCCCCGGGGCCGTACGCCCACCAACCGGCTTCGCGGTCCATCAACTGCACCGCCAGCTCCCGTTAAGGGCGGGGCCCCTGAGCGCCATGCCACGGCTCCAGGCGTGCAGGGCTGGGATGCGAACCCGCCGCCTTGTCCCGGCCCGACTTGGGGTCCACCCCGATCGGGGAGGTCACAGGCGTGCCCACGGGACCCAGCGGCCAGGCACGCAGCGCACACCTCCCTTTCCAGAACCTTCTCTTTCCCGGATCGCGGCGCGGCCTCGCGCCCGCAGCCCTTCCGCGGGCGCCGCAAGCGCAGGCCCCGCTCTGCGGCCGCATCCTCTCTGTCACCTACTTTTGCTCCATCCTTGAGCATCTGGGCAAAGCCCGGGGCCTTGGGGACGTGGAGCGCCATGGCCAGCCCGCAGTCCACCGCTCACGCGCTCGGGGGAAGCGAGGTGCGCGCACAGCCTGCTGGGAACGCGGCCTTGCGTCGTCCCTACCTCCGGTCGCCCCGCCCCTTGACGCACCAGCTCTCCTGAAGTACCGCGAGAACGAGAGTGGGGCGACCGCTAGAGTGACTCCGGCAGCCAGACCCAAGCTGCAGATCCCCGATCAGGTCGAACGATGAGGCCGAGCGCCGAGCGCGCGCACCCCGCGCGTGCGCCACAGTCCCCTTGTTCTAAGCAAACTGTGGTCTGGACGTTTGGCTTGTGGCAATGTCTGAGGCGGACATCCTACTTCTTAACCTTCGTTTGCGCTGAATCCTGCAGATCCAGCAGGACAGGCTTGCCTTGTCCTTTTCCTCTCCAAGCGAACCTGCCCTCCGTCCCTGCAAACTACCATTATGTGTTGGGCACCGTAGGAAGCACCGAAGGCTTGAAGGTGATAATTAAAAGGGTAACAAGGATTGCAACATGTGGGTGCCCATGTGTAGGCACGTCTATGTGGTTTGCTTAAGGGTAGTTATCTTCGTTATTGGTCACACTTACAAATGAATATTATCTCCCTTTTATAGATGGGAAATTGACGTTCACTTTTTTAGTGATATGCTCTGGGTCACCAAGCCAAACAAATATTAAAGTGAGGACTTCCACCCTGGCTGGCTGATTGCGGAGTGTGCATATTTAAGCACTTTGTATGCTTTGTTTGTTTGTTTTTTTCCAAGGCGGTGGTGGCGCCTTTAATCCCAGCACCCGGGAGTCAGAGAACCGGATCTCAGTTCAAGGCCTGCCTGGTCTACAGAGTGAGTTCCAGGACAGCCAACGCTACACAGAGAAACCCTGTCTCGGAAGAAAAAAAAAAATAGTTTTCACAGAAAAAGTAAAACAGTCTTATGGTGAAAAATACAGAAAATGCAGACAATTTGAAACGTTTTTGTGAGTCTTCTGGACATGTAGAAATTAAGGTTTTCTTTAAATTGGGACAGATTCATTGTGCCTTTGACATAATTGCAGCTTTTTCTAAATGCAATTACTATCAATTGCAGTTTTTTCTAATAAGCATTTAAAATATGTAATCATGAAAATAATAATTTCTTGCCATCTAACATGACATGGTAAGTGAACCATCTATATTGGAAGACATTGCAAGAAATTGGTGGTTCTCAAAGTTTGGTTTAGACACCTCTGAGGTTCTCCAAGACTCTTTGAGGGTCCATTAGGCTGAAAGTATTTTCATACTAATACAGAGGTGTCTCCTCTCTTCTTGTGGAGACTTCTGAAGCCAACTCGCTGTTCAGTATTTCACAGTATGAATGAGAACAGCATAAGGCAAGTTGTCTTCCATTAAGCCACATATAAAATATTTGGAAAAAATTGTGACTGTCACTCTTCAAAGAAGTTATTTTCAATAACATTATGTTAGCCTGCAATGTTCACTGTTACATTTTTAAATTAATGGTTAGTAGTTTATCTGATTTATAATGCTAACAACCATTGATAAATACAATAAACAAAAGATCATTGATGGGCTCTCTATTTTAAAGCATATATAGGGGTCCTATGACTGCAGAGTAGATGAGACCTGGACGGGAGGACAGTCCAAGATTTTCTCATGGATTAGCTAACAAAATTAAAACTCATATATCAGAGAATATCATTTATGAGCATTTATGACACAAAAGCAAAAGGGGATTTAAAATGACACCTGATTCGTTAAAAGTGATGATGAGGAATTAAATCTTGGCAAAATTTAATGACTAGATCATGAAAAACCAAACTTGGGTTCAAGATAACTGATGAATTTTCATTAAAAGTTTATAATAAAAATTGACCTTGCATTAATTGTAACAAACAGTAAATGGGAAGATTTACAATCAATTTAAATCTACTGTATGTTATTTTGTCAAGGAATTAGATTTTAATTGCCAATGCTTCTTTTTAAATGAAGATTTGTTAATTCTGTGTAATTTGGGTGAAACTGTATTTATAATTACAGAGTCAAGATACCAAGGGGAGAATTTCTGCTGGGTTTAAGTCGGACATGTGTCATCCAGACAGGAAAACAAACACAAACCGTTAGGTGTGACTCCAGCCCAGGTCCTAGCCCCTGCTTGTTACACTGGTATCTTTTCCTGCTTGGTTTTACTCTGTGTCGTCTAGCCACGGTAGTCAAAAGAGCTCACTCTGTTTTCTTCATTCCTTGTTTCATTCTTTCAGCAGGGCTCTGTGGAGGCCTCCAGGATATGTGATATTACAGTGGTTCTAATGTGTAAAGCCCGAGAGGCCAGTTGTCCCTGATGTCTTTACTTAGCAAATCTTTCCCTCTCCTTTGGCTGAGTTAACGCCACATAAGTTAGCATAACATTTTCCTCGACAAGCCTTAGACTAGTCCCTAAATGTTCCTGGTTATCATTCTGATGGCTTCTGCCTGTCTTCATCACATGTCACATAGTTGAAATAGCAAAGCAATAGCAAAAATCTTTCTCAACCAGAAGGTAAGCACTGCATGAACTGAACTTACAGTTGGATATTGAATGGAATAAGAGCTTCATGTCTAATTACCAGGTGGACTACTGTGCAGCAAATGGAAATCGAAATGTTAGTATCCTAAAATTCACACGCTGAGATCCTAACCACCACCAAGGTGAAACCTTTGGGTAGGTAATTGGTTCATAAGAGAAAACCCTTTGGTTTTGTCACCTTTATAAAATACACTTAAGGGAACTTGTTGCCCTTCCGTCGTGTGATGGCACCTAAGAATCAGAAGGTGATTCTGTACCTGTCCACACTTGGATCTTGGGTTTCTCAGCCCCCAAGACTGAGGAATGAAATTCTGTCATTTGTGAGCTACCCGGGGTGGTATTTTGTTATAGCAAACTAGTACAGGGAAGATGTGGTCTCTATTCTCATCTACTTATCACTCAGGTAAACAGACGACAGAACACAGCAGGAAACTTGCCCAGTTTATAAAAGACCCAGGAAATCAAGGTTTCTGCGATCAAAATCCAAGAGCCTCATGCCATTAACACAGTGGTTCTCAACCTGAGGGTCGCAACCCCTTTGGGGATTGCATATTAGATATTTACAGTAAGATTCATGACAGTAGCAAAATGACAGCTAAGAAGTAGCCGTGAAAATAGTTTTGGGGTGGGGACCACCACGACATGAGGAACTGTATTAAAGGGTTGCAGCCTTAAGGAGGTTAAGAACTGCCCTATTAACAACTGAAAATCCAGCCTCCAGCCTTCAGGAACAAACTAACAGTCTTGGAATACAGGGCTTTTGGCTCCCTCTGCCCCATTCAGGAAGGATACAACTATGGACTTGGGTAAGTATAAGCCAACTCAAGATCGATAAGCACTGGTTCACTGTTTACTTTTTCCTTGCTCTTTTTTGTTTGCTTCGATTATTATTTTTATTTATTTAAGAGACAGGGTCTAGGGCTGAAGAGATGGCTCAGTGGTTAAGAGTAAATACTATTTTTTGTTTTGTTTTGTTTTGTTTTTTGAGACAGGGTTTCTCTGTGCAGCTTTGGAACCTGTCCTGGAACTCACTCTGTAGACCAGGCTGGCCCAGAACTCACAGAGATCTGCCTGCCTCTGCCTCCAGAGTGATGGGATTAAAGGAGGGCACCACTGTGCCCGGCTCACTTTTATTTCTTAATATACCTGTAATCCATCCTCCCCATCCTTGGCCAGTCTCTGTGGCTTGGGGATGAGGTTGGGAGGACAGTGAGCTACAGATTAACATGTCCTGAGAGGTTGTCTTCTGGACCAAGCAACGGCTATCTTGGGGAGTTCACTTGTGTCCCCAGCAGGAATGGTTGACCCTTTATACACCCAAGAGTAGAGGCCTAGAGTAGGGCATGAGATTCTCTTGTACCCAGCTGCTCCCTACCTGCTGGCAATGCTGCACATGACCTGGGCAAGGCAAGGGAAGAATAGAGCAAGGGCTCCGTCTGTGTGCCTTCTTCCCTGCTGGGCAAGGCTTTCCAGGGGGGCTGGTTGGGGGAGGAGTGTCCACACCCCTGTAAGTAACCCCTCACCTTGGCTCTGTAAGGAAGCCTAATAAACTCATTGGTTCCTCAGAGTGAACTTGGGTAGAATCTTGCCTCCATTTGTCACTGGGACCTTGGGAGGAGGAGTAGATGTTGCTCTCTGTCTCCCCAGGGAAGAGATTTTAGCCTCACCATTTCATTGGCTTAGTTTCTGTCAAGCACACAGGTCATAAGGCCAGTCCAAAGTCAAGTCTTAAAGGACTGTCCTGGTTAAAGAGAAAACACTTGATTCCTGTTTTACTTTTTGAGACAGGGTTTGTCTTGGTTACTTTTCCATTGCTGTGAAGAGACAGCATGACCCAGGCAGCTTATAGGAGGAAGAATTTATTGGGGCTTAAAATTTCAGAGGGTGAGTCCGTGACCATTGTGATGGGGAACACGGTAACAGGCAGGTAGACAGACAGGCAGGCATGGAGCAGTACTGGAGCAGTAGCTGAGAGTTTGTGTTGGGAGCTGGAGAGATGGCTCATAGATGGCTGCTCTTCCAGAAATCCTGAGTTCAATTCCCAGCAACCACATGGTGGCTCACAACCATCTACAATGGGATCAGACGCCCTCCTCTTCTCTCTGAGGCTCTCTACTCTCATGCAGGCACTACACCCAAGTAGAGCTCTTATATACATAAATAAATAAATCTTAAAAAAAAAAAAGAGAGAGAGAGTTTATGTTGGATCCACAAGCAAGAGCAGAGAGAAAGACCAGGAATGGTGTGGGCTTTTGAAACCTCAGAGTCCACCCCCAATGGCACAGCTCCAACAGGACCACACCTAATCCTGCTCAAGCAGTTCTACCAACTGGAGACCAAATGTTCAAATCTATGAGCCTATGGGGGCCGTTCTCATTCAAACTACCGCAGGGCTTCATGTAACCCAGCCTGACTTCAAACTCCCTGTGTGGCCGAAAATGACCTTTAACTCCTGATTGTCTGGCCTCTGCCTCCCAAGTGCCGGGACTACAAGTGTGCATCTAGCACCAGGACACTTTGATAATCAGATTATGATGCAGTTAACCAAATGTGCCGGCTCTTTGAGGTCAAGATTTCCCACAGCGAAAGGAATAATGCTGAAAGAAAGGGACCAGGGGACCTGAAATTCAAGTCTCATGATACCTCTTCCCAAGCTACCTCTAAGATGGAAACCAGATGTCTTTAAATTCTGTTACCAAAGGAAAGAGTGGGGCAAGAAGACACACACCTCATTAAAACGTTGAGGCGACAAGAAACTGCCTGGTGGCAGAGGTGAGAGAGATGGCTGAAGAGCATCTCTTCGCAGGCCTCTATCCTGTGCTCTTGTAGGATCATACAGCATTCTCCTGAGACTCACATTAGCATGGCTTCGTGGGTCCACGTAAGGACACCCTCACTTCAGAGCAGAACCATTTCTTTGCAGTTTAGTGGTGAGTCTTGGCCACACTGAGGAACATTTTGCCATGCCAAGTCTTTGGGATGCTTTCCTGTCTTGTTCATTCTTCTGAAGCACTATTTCTCGAGCTTCATACTACATGACATCTTATCCTCTTTGGCTGCTCAGTTGTTTCCCAACTCTTTCGTTGCCTTTTTTTTCATTTGTTTGTTTGTTTTGTTTTTCGAGACAGGGTTTTTCTATGTAACCCTGGCTGTACTGGAATTCACTCTGTTGACCAGGCTGGTCTCAAACTCAGAAATCCACCTACCTCTGCCTCTCAAGTGCTGGGATCAAGGGTGTGCACCACCACCACCTGGACTTGTTTCCCAGCTCTTAAAGAATTCTGGCTGCTAAAACATTGCCAAGGATCAAGGGTAATAATATGTTAGATAAAACAAAGCTGAATTTGTTTTTACTGCAGCCATTGAGAACCTATCATTAGAGATGTTTTGGTTACCTTTCCATTTCTATGATAAAACACATGAGATGATCAGCATAAAGAGAGGAAATACTTATTTTGGCTCATGGTTTCAAGAAATTTCAGCCCATGGTCAGCTGGTTCCATTGTCCTGGGGCCTGTCTCAGGACATCATGGTTGGGCAGTTTTGTTGATAAAACAGGGCCTTGCAGAGTAGGGAAGGGATCTGCAGTCAGCTGGTCAGTGGTCTGGCTGGAGATGACAAGTGAGGAGGTCTCTACTGGGACTGTTCAGCTCTGCCTCACAGTGTCTTATGCGTGAGCACGCTTTGGGGGCTTGTTCTAAAGGAAACTGAAGATTCCAAGGGAGAAGAGGAAATGTGCAACTCACCTGGACAAATTTGCTGCTGTCTCCTTAGTCAAAGTAGGCCAGCTGATCAGACCCTGAATTACTATAAGAGGGGAGAATCAAAGAGTATAGATAGAAGGAAATAGGAATGTTGAGGACAGTAATTCAGTCAGTTACCATAGCTACATAACCCCAATCAGCCTTTCTGCTAAGAAATTTCAAGCATTATCTTTAATTTGTCTTCAGTAATTCCATTCAGCAAGCCATCACAGGAAATATTGTAAGCCATTGACCTTGTAGGATTTTCAATAAATCAGCAAATAAAGATGCCCTTTTGGTGTTTTACTGAACTTCTTTTTTCAGTCACAGTGGGTGAGACCTATGTTGAAAAAAATACTCCACAAAATGAAATATGGTCATTATTTTAAAAAAGAAATTTAAAAAATTATTGTATTATTTTGTGTGTATGAATGTTTGCCTGCATGTGTGTCTGTGCATCGTGAGTGTGCAGTGCCCACAGAGGCCAGAAGGGGGCGTCAGATCCCCTGTAACTGGAGTTACAGATGGCTGTGAGCTGCCACCAGGGTCCTCTGAAAGAGCAGCAGTTGTTCTTAACCCCTGAGTCATCTCTCCATCCCCTAGTATAGTCATGTTTACATGAATGAACGTGTGTGTTATCAAGTGTATGTGTAGGTGGGTACCTGTGCCTGTGTGCACACTATCACTCTCTCCCATATTCCTTTGAGGCAGGGTTCTCCCTGAACCTGGAACTTGTATGCTGTAAGCTGACCCGGCAGTCAGCAGACTTCAGGAACCCTCTTGTCTCTATCCCTGTCCGTGCAGGGTTACAGATGTGGATCCAGCTGGGTGCTGGGTGCTAGGGTCAGAGCTCTGGTCCTCAGGCTTACATTTTCCTAGCCCAGTGCAGTCACTATTGGTGGGCTGTATTGTCTTTTTTCTACCTTTATGTTCCGGGATGAATCTAGAACATTTTGGAGGGTACCCTATCAGCCATTCCTAAAGGTACTTGTTTGTTCGCCTTTGTTCATGTCTCAATGTTCTCTACCCTAGTTTGTTGCATGGAATATCCATACTCTGGATTTGAACTTGGTAACACATCTTTTAAGCATCCTTCCTCCACTCCCTGTTAGAAGTCTACTTGCAGCTGGGCAGTGGTGGCAAACGCTTTTAATCCCAGCACTTGGGAGGCAGAGGCAGGCAGATCTCTGTGAGTTTGAGGCCAGCCTGGGCTACAGAGAGAGTTCCAGGAAAGGCGCAGTTACACAGAGAAACCCAGTCTGGAAGAAAAAACAAACAAACAAACAAAAACCAGAAGTCTACTTGCAGAAGTCTGTGTTAAAAATGAAATTTTCTGGATGCCGTGTGCTGACATCTTATTTGGTGATAAATTTGTAACTTTACCTTTGGGTCAAACCAGGCATCAAAGGTCTTGTTCTTTGGAGAATTAAATTTGATAAATTGTTCTTCTAAAAATAATTTTTTTATGTGTATGGGCATTTTGCTGGCATTTTTGTCTATGCCCTACGTATTTGCAGCATTCATGGAGGCTAGAAGAGGACATTTGGTCCTCTGGAGCTGGAGTTACAAATAGTTGTCAGTGGCCATATGGGTGCTTGTGAAGTGAACCCAGGTTCTCTGCAAGAGCAACATATGCTCTTAACTGCTGAGCCGTTTCTCCAGGCCACAAATTGCCTTGTTTTCTATCATATCTTTTTTCTTTTTTGTTTGTTTTTGTTTTTCAAAATATGGTTTCTCTGTGTAGCCTTAGCTGTCCTAGAACTAACTCTGTAGACCAGGCTGGCCTCTAACTCACAGAGGTCCACCTGCCTCTGCCTCTTCCACCCGAGTGCTGGGATTAAAGGCGTGTGCCACCACCACCTGGCCTATCACATCTTACAATATGCAAAATGAAGAGAAACAGTAAAGAGTCTGGAGAGATTGCTCAGTCCAAGGAAGCTTGAGGGTTGAGATTCATCTCCCAAACAGGCCACGTATATATGAATGTGACCTCAGTGTTGAGGACATGAAGACAGTGAATCCCTGGGGTTTGCTGCTTAATTGTCAAGTTCTAGGGCAGTGAGAGACCCTATCTCAAAAAACGAGATGGACAGCTCCTGAGGAATTGTACCAAAGGTTGACACACACACACACACACACACACACACACACACACACACACACACGCACGCACAAGCAAGCACACGCAACTGAAAAAAGAAAAGTGGACCATTGTCTTTTCTGTATGCCTGGTTTTGTGATTGTAGATCATTTTATTACATGGCATCTTTCTTACATAATCTATAGGAAAATGTGTTTCGTCATTCAACCATTGTATTTAATGCTATGGTCTCCATGAGCCTTAAACTACCTTTTTGTTTTAGAGCTGAGGGTAGCCCACTTTTGCCATCTCTAGGGCTTTGACGCAACATTTCTTTGTATTCTTCTGAACATTTGTTCTTAGTTTCTTGCTTTTCCATCTTTTTTTGCCTCAGCTATCTCAGTTTAAAAACAATCTAGCCAGGCACAGTGATACATGCCTATAATATTAGCACTGGAAGGATATGGCAGGACTGTCATGAGTTCAAGGCCAGCCTAGGCTGCATGCTAAGTCCCAGACCAACCTGGCAGAGTGAAATCCTATGTGGTGTTTTGAATGCTAATGGTGCCCATAGGTTTGGGAAGGATTAGGAGGTCTGGCCTTGGAGGAGGTGTGTCACTGGGGGTGGGCTTTGTGGTTATAAAATGCTCATGCTATTCCTGATATGCTCTCTCTCCTGTCTCCTATGTGTGGATCAAGATGTGAGCTCTTAGCTATTCCTGCCGCCATATTCCTGCTCTGAGCTTTGTCCCGCCATCATGGACTGTAACCCTCTGAAAGTGAAAGAGCAAGGAAATTCTTTTATAAGTTGCCTTGGTCATGTTGTTTTGTCACAGCAATAGAGAAGTAACTAAGACACCCTTTCTCAAAAATAACAAAAACCAAGCATCTTGACTGATTTTGTTATAAGCTAGATTAGATCTTTGGTGGATTTCAATGGGATATTTGCTGTGGGATGTTTTATATGGCAAATGTGTTGTTCTGATTGGTTAGTAAATAAAACACTGATTGGCCAGTAGTCAGGCAGGAGGAAGTATAGGCGGGACAAGGAGGAGAAGAATTCTGGGAAGTGGAAGGCTGGGTCAGAGACACTGCCAGCCGCCGCCATGACTAGCAGCATATGAAGATGCTGGTAAGCCACGAGCCACGTGGCAAGGTATAGATTTATAGAAATGGATTAATTTAAGATATAAGAACAGTTAGCAAGAATCCTGCCACGGCCATACAGTTTGTAAGCAATATAAGTCTCTGTGTTTACTTGGTTGGGTCTGAGTAGCTGTGGGACTGGTGGGTGTCAGAGATTTGTCCTGACTGTGGGCCAGGCAGGAAAACTCTAGCTACAAATGGCGCCCAATGTGGGGCAAGAGTTTCCACCTAAAACCTGAGTGTAAAAAGATTCTAAAACGGAGCTAAAAACAGTTCTTAGTTGTCTCATTCAAGTAGCAGCAGCCTGCGTGTTTGAGCTACTATCTACTATGGCGGGTTCCTGGCATGCGCGCTCGACCTGCAGTATGGCAGGAATGAGGCCTCTGCAAGTGACACATTAAGCTGCATGGTGGATTTAGCCTTTGCTAGTACAAAACAAAAAAGAGGTTTCTGGGCTACACGCTGCTTTGATAGAAGCATAGACCCACTATTTCTGAGAATTGATGGCTCCCAGAGCTGGCGGAAAATGTACCACCGCCATGTTGGGAAGCTGAAGTGGGAGAAGGCAGCAGCCACAACGCCATTTCAGTCTTAGAATTCTGCAGTTTAAAGCAATAGATTCACAATAAGACAGATTCAGATGTAATAGTTTACAATGTGTGTAAAATATATGTAGGCTTAAAAGAGACAAAAAAGGTGATATATACAGTTATAAAAACAAATACATAGTTTTAAAAAATAAAGTCGTTAACGAGACAGTAAAATTAATATAAAAAATAAGCCACGTAAAGATGAATATTACACAGAGAATCTGGATTGTGTTGTCTTTGGGATTTTTAACTGCAGCACAACATTTGATTGTAAAAGATGTTGAGTTAAACCAATATGTATATTTTAAAGATACCTTGACTTCAAAATTTGGATCTAAGGATATGTTGCTTTGGAAAGCAGGCTCTGCTTTTGTTTCCACAGAAAGCAAGAGGCTATGTATTTGTTTCAGATTAAGATACTTCAGGTTTGACCAGCCAAGACCCCCTGAAAGGTCTCCGATGACACCATGGCCCAGATGATCCAACATCCAGAATGGTTTCAAGGCAACTGGCTCAGACAATACAGCCTCATGGACTACTCCATAATCCTAAAATTTTCTTTATGTCCTCATAAGATACAGCACCCCCCTCCAGCAGAAAGTAGTAAGAGAAGCTACACCCAAATTCCCAAATTATATGTAATTTTACTAGGTTAAGGTTAAAACCTTTCTTTTTGAAAAAAAGAAACGGGGAAGTGCTGTGGGATGTTTTACATGGCAAATGTGTTGTTCTGATTGGTTAGTAAATAAAACACTGATTGGCCAGTAGTCAGGCAGGAGGAAGTATAGGCGGGACAAGGAGGAGAAAAATTCTGGGAAGTGGAAGGCTGGGTCAGAGACACTGCCAGCCGCCGCCATGACTAGCAGCATATGAAGATGCCGGTAAGCCATGAGCCATGTGGCAAGGTATAGATTTATAGAAATGGATTAATTTAAGATATAAGAACAGTTAGCAAGAATCCTGCCACGGCCATACAGTTTGTAAGCAATATAAGTCTCTGTGTTTACTTGGTTGGGTCTGAGTAGCTGTGGGACTGGTGGGTGTCAGAGATTTGTCCTGACTGTGGGCCAGGCAGGAAAACTCTAGCTACAGATATTCATATTTTCAAAGTTACTAGTATATACGTTTACAGATGATTTAAAAATTAGAATCTTCATTTCAGAACTTTAAAATTTTAATATAGGACGAATTAACTATTTGGTTTTTTTAAAATTAATTCCATTTATTTATTCTCTCTCTCTCTCTCTCTCTCTCTCTCTCTCTCTCTCTCTCTCTCTCTCTCTCTCTGTATGTGTGTGTGTGTGAACTTGAGGGAGTTGATTCTAACTTTGACCGTATGGGTCCCAGGGATTGAACTCCGGCCATCAAGCTTGGCTGGAAGTACCTTTACCTGATGAGCCATCTCACCAGCCGAAAATTTACAGTTTGTTGCTTGAACTAAGAAACACAACTACACTGTGAGTACTATAATGCCAAAGTATAAAACTTGAGAGGGTCTTACATTTTTACATATAGATGTCATTAAAGTCACTCTAGAATTTCCCTACTCACTAGTTGGTAAGCTAGCTCTTGATTCATTTCCTTCCTCCCTCCGTCCTTTCCTCACTGCTAGAGAGCAAACCCAGGCCTTTGTACATGCTGAATAAGTGCTCTCTATCATCATTGAGCTACAGCCAGCGCTTGGGTTTTGAAGACAGGGTCATAGTATGTAGCTTAAACTCATCTCTAACATGTGATTCTCCTGCCTCAACTTCCCAAATGCTGGGATCGTAGGCCTATGTCCCATGTCCAGCTGGTCCATAGTTTCTTGTAGGTACTTAGCCCATGAGACAGTACTTATTTTTGTGAGTGGATTGGTGAGGATGCTTGATGGTTCAAATGCTTATCAGCCATTGTCATTCTCACTTGTCCTATTAATGTTTTGGCTATTTTTATTGCAGTGATCGCCACTAGGGTTTTCAGTGGAGTCAGTCATTAGTCTCAGGGAGTAAAATTAAGAAAGGATCCATGTGTCTATTTATGTAGCAGTCTGCTAGAGCAATTACATTTTCTCATTGCTATGTGGCAGCCCACTTCCTGTTTCTTAACAGATCCTCACTCTTCTGACCGCATGTCCAGCTGTATCACGGAGGAGACTATTAAGTCACACTAGCAGTTTCTGTGCAGATGGAGGGTAATGGCTACCAAAATTACCTTCCCAAAGATAGTCATCTCTTTAACACTGTTACACAATGATGACATAGGAAAATGAAGTCTAACAATTAGAAGTGAACTTGGCGAGAAGAAAAGAATATTTATGTAAGTGAGAAAGGAGAGGTACAACGATATATATTTAGAAGGTCTAATCACAATCACTTAAGATGACACTCAACTTTGTCAAAAAATCCCAACAGAAAAGAAAAGAAAAAAAAAGCGAATAAGGAAAATGTCTTTCTCTAAGCCCATATACTTCGTTCACACCTGCAATATGGAATAAATCATTGGCCCTTCACCAAAGCCTTTTGGATCAAGAATTGTCGTAAAATACTTTTAATTTCCATAAGCCTTGAGTGTCCTTCCTCACACAGAACAAATGAGAACAGATATGAGCATGCATAAACTAAGAAGAGTCAGATTTATTGATAGTAGCAAGAAATGACAGGTAGTGATTGATACTCAGACAAGGACTTGTCATATGTACAGAAGACCCCAGAGCTAGAGCACCTAATTGAGGCCATAACTAAGAACTTAACTGAAGTGTGAACCTAATTAGTCCTAGCAATAAAAAGCAGGAGTCAGATACTAGGGTAATAACCTGAAAGATCAGAGAAGCAGAGGAGCGGCCACCAGTGACCTCTTACCTCTCCAGATCCTCCAACCGAAAAGGGGTGAGATCCTGACTCTGACCCACCTCATCACTTCCTGTCTCTGCCTCCTGAGTGCTGAGATTAAAGGTGTGAGCCACCACTGCTCAGCTTCTGTGGTTGACTAGTGGCTAGCTCAGCCCTCTGATCTCCAGGCAAACTTTATTTTTCAGGACACAAACAAAATATCACACAGCACCAGTTAGTGGAGCCATTGCATTTAAGTCACTTCGAGTGATTGTCTATGACTATCCGAGCACCCAGGTAGTTTCTTGAATTGCACCTGTAAAAGCTCTTTCGGAAGAGGCAGCTGGCTTTACAGTGTACTCACCTAACCTCCTCATGCTGCTTCCCCAAATTGTCAACTGTAATCTTGTTTTTGGTAACAGAGTAGGAAAAATGTAGAAGATCCTGGGAAGACATGAACCTGTACTGTCTCTCAGCTAACAACTGCTGGCAACCCTGGGCGATTGAGGGAGGTCATAGCCTATTTGTTAAGGTGCTGATTGAAACACTGGGACACCGGTTCCTTCCCTTAATATAAAACCAATTTTGAGCCAAGTCATTTAAGACCTTTTGAAAACTGACTCTAAAATAGCATGTGATATCCTGAGGAAAAAAATAAACCATGATTTAGTAAACTAGGTGATCCATGGGGAAAGGGCAGCTTTATATGGTTTTCTTACAGAGAGAGAAGGCGTGGTAGATAAAGTGAGGCCAGAAAAAACAAAACAACAAAACAAAAAAAACACCTTGCCACAGCCACATGATTTCCAGCTTGAAATGGGCATTTCCATGTCTGCAGCCCAGTGAGTGGGTAGAAGGATCCTCACTGAGCTTATAAAATGGATAGTCTACAACCAACAATGCTCTTAGGGGCATGATGGTGTCATTTCTTTTTTCTTTTTAAGAAATGTTTATTGATATTAGTTATGTGTATATGTGTGTGTTTGTGCACATGTGAATTAGGTACTCTTAGAGGCCAGAAGAGGGTGTCAGATCCACTGGAGCTGTAGTTAGAGGTGGTTGTAAATTGCCATATTCAGGTGCTAGGAATGAACCCTGGTTCTCTGAATAAGCAACAATCACTCTTAGCTATTAAGCCATGGTATCTTTTTTTTTTTTCTTTTCTATTGAGACAGGGACATGCTATATAGACTTAGCTGGCCTGGATCTCCCTGTATAGAACAGGTTGGCCTTGAACTCATGGAGACCTACCTACTTTGGCCTCCAAAGTACTGGGATTAAGGGCATGTGTCACCATGCCCAGCGAGATGATCTCATTTCTCGATGAACATACTATTATGAGTGCTCCTTCAGAGTCATTTTGCCACAGGCAAATTACTGTTTCACTGAAGTGATGGACAGAGCTGGCCTTCAGTGTCAGTGATGATAATGGCGATGGTGAAAATGAAAATGACGGTAAGATACGTAGTAAAGCATGCTCACAGTAATTTGGCCATATGGTAATGAGCAGTTGACGCCTATCTGCTCCCCAGCCTCTGTTCTCACTTCATTTATCTTGTAATAACTGGATCCTGAATTTTATAGAAGAATTACTGCTTTTGAATTTCATGGTACACAGTTCAGGGTTTCATCGTGTAATGGTGCCTACAGTATAACATCACTAAATGCCAAGTGCTTTTGTGCTGAGAGCTTTGTGAAAGTTACTTCGTTTGATCTTCAAAAGCACATTGACAAAAGCTTTCAACGCATTCCCATTTTACTTAAAATAAAGCCAAAGCTCTGTATGAGGGTTTGTAGGGCCCAGCACGAGCCATGCCTGCCTTCTTCTGTACCATGCTCTCCAGTCTCCCCACCACAGCTGTGTGTACCTCATAGCCTCGGAATGTGCCACTCTCAAACTCATTCCCTCCATAGGGCTCTTCCCTGGCTTCCCTTTGTCCAGACTGTCCTTCTCTCAGACCTTACCATAGATGACTCTTTCCTGTTATTCAGGTGCTGGGTCAAATCTCACCTCAGAGCCACAGAGAATTTCTTTGAAAACTGTCTAAAAAAAATGTCATTAATCTCCCTCATATCACCTTGTTTTATTTTCATTCTAACACCTAACATGTCATCCTTAGAATCTGCAGGCATGGGCCCTGGGGTCTCTCTACAGAGACCCAAAGTTATGGATGTTCAGGCCCTTATAGTTGACAGTACAGTGTTTGCTGTAACACCAATCATCTTGTACCCTCTATATCATCTTTATTACTGATAGTTGCTAATGTCATGTGAATGGTTGTCCTATGGATTGTTTAGGAAAGTCTGTACATGTTTTCTCCAGATGCAACTTAAAAAATAGTTTCTGTCTGTAATTGGTTGGACTCACAAATGGGAAATTCATAGATGTGGAAGGACAATTGTAAACCAGCAAATTTTCCCTCTTTTCAAAAAATTTTTATCTTTATATTTATTTATTTATTTATTTATTTATTTATTTATTTATTTATTTATTTATTTATTTATATGTGTGTGTATGTGTGTGTGCACACATGCATGTGCACATACGCATTCAGCACAGTGTGCATGTAGAGGTCAGATGATAATATTCGGGAGTCAGTTCTCTTCCACCTTATGTGGGTTCTCTGGGTTGAATTTAGAAGATCAGGATGTAGCTGAGGATGACTTTGAGTTTCTAATCCTTATGCCTCCACGTTCTGAAAGCTAGAATTACATGCATATTACCACACTAGGCTTTTGCCTCCTGGGCCACCTCATCAGAACTGCCAGTAAAATTTCATATTTCTTAAAAACACTCTGCCATGGACTGACTTGCTCCTGTAGCCATGCCTTTCCCATCCTGATGGACTGATATCTCCTGAAATCATGAACCAAAATAAATCCCCCCTCCTCTAAAACAGAAACAACAGATCTTTTTATTCCTACCAGTTGGAATTCAATCTTATTGGTAATTTGAATAAAATCTTTCCTTTATTACAGTGTTTTCTTTCTTTTTTATTCCTTGTGTGTGGGGGGTCCTCTTTCCCTCTCGGCCTGTTGGTCACCAGGTCAAGAGGGCAAGAGGCAGTAACTGTGACAGAAGGCTTTGTAGCAGCCCATGAGCACGAAGGAGGACAGCCCTTCAGGACACAGACTTCGGTGAATCAGCTCACATTTATTTGAGAGTATAAGTAATATATAGGATTGGGGAGCCTGGGGACAAACCCTAATTTGCATTAAGTGGCATGCTCCTATCACAAGGCTTTGTATGTGGCAGTAGGGTCCTATCAAAATGACTAGAGCACTTGCCTAGTTACCATCAGGAGAAGAGCCTTTGCAGAGAACTGTGTCAAGTGTCACCCTTGAGATAAGTCAGGCATCCTGGGCCTAGAGACATCCTCCAGTTAAGGCTAGGTAGAGAGCAGGAAGCTTTGCTGGGGAGGGAGGGAAGGAGTGTCCATCTTGCTGAGCTTAGAGATGGCTGCCAGGCTATGGTAGACTGCGACCTCTACCAGCCAGCAATGTCTTCCAACAATTCTCTCCTGTCTCCACTTCCTTCCTCCCTCTGTCCCTCCCTCCCCCTTTCTCTTTCTGTTTCTCACTCTAGTTCTTTTTTTTTTTTTTTTTTTAGAATAGTGACTAAGACATGGCAAATATTTAACAACAAATCTGAAGTTTTGAGGAACACTCACCAAGAGAGAGGGGACAAGAAACCTGCAATATGTAAAGTTTAGAGATAAAAACTTAAATTTAGATCTCTCTCTCTCTCTCTCTCTCTCTCTCTCTCTCTCTCTCTCCCCCCCCCCCCCCCCCCCCCCCCGTGTGTGTGTGTGTGTGTGTGTGAAGTCTCACTGTGTAGTCAAGGCTGGCCTCAAATAGAAGATGCTTCTTACTCAGACTCCCAAATGCTTGGATTGCAAGTGTGTCCCCCACCACTTCCTGCCAAAGGTGACAAGGTTTTGATGTTGTTCATCAGACAAGTTCTTATGTAGCTCAGGCTGGCCTTGAACTTGCAAGGTAAGTGCAGATGACCTTGAACAACAACTACTACTCTTACTACTTTCCCTCCTGCTGTGGGATGATCCTTCTTTACACTGTGAATGTGTGTTGCTATCATTGGTTAATAATAAAGATGTTTGTCCTATGGCAAGGCAGGATAAGGTTAGGTGGAACAATCAAACTGAGATCTCGGATAAAGAAGGGTGGAGTTGAGGGAGACATGAGCCAGCCACCCAAGAAGCAAGATGTCAGAGGACCAGTAAAGCCACAGCCATGTGGCAATACATAGATGAATGGAAATTGGTTAATTTAAATGTAAGAGCTAGTTAGTAATAAGTCTGAGCCATTGGCCAAACATTTATAATTAATATAAGCCTCTGTGTGATAATTTGGGAAACAGCTGCTAGGTATTTGGAAAGAGGCTGTTGGGACAGAAACTCTGCCTCCCATTACATTCTCCTCCTCCTTCTCCTCCATTTTTGTTTTTTTGAGACATGGTTTCTCTGTGCAGCCCTGGCTGTCCTGGATCTCGCTCTGTAGAACGGGGTGGCCTTGAGCTCACAGAGATCCACCTGCCTCTGCCTCCCAAGTGCTAGGATTAAAGGTGTGCGCCACCTTGAATTTCTAATCCTCATGCTTCTACCCTTTGAGTACTGGAATTACAGACCTGACTTATATGGTGTTGAGGATAGATCCCACAACTTTGATCATTCGAGGCAAATACTCTGCCAACTGACTACATCCCCATCCACTTGAAGTTTTTTTTGTCTTGCTTTTTTTTTAATTTTTGAGATAAGGTCTCAAAATCTTTGTGTATCTGAGGATGACCTTGAACCTCTGGTTCTCCTACCTCCCAAGTGCTGGCATTAAACACATGTACACCTGCTTTTATGTGATACTGAGGACTGCGCCCATGGCTTCATGCATTTAAGCAAGCATTCTACTGACTTTGGCTCATCCCCAGCCCTCTCAACGCTTGACAGAAGGACTCTACATCAGAAAAAAAATACAGCAGTATTTCTCTAGTGCTGAACTTGAGAAATGTCTGTGCACTCAGGAGAGAGCAGAGCTGCAAACACATTTCACTTATGCTCTCATAACACCCACTTAACATCTATCACCAAGGCAGAAGCCACGACCGTTTTCACCAGCAGAAGTGAAACTCAAGTAGGCACACAATTTCACTGTCAACGATTCATGATTTAAAAGTTTAACAGCAGCTTAAGAAAAAGCGAGCAATTCAGGTGGTGGCAGCAGCACACGCCTTTAATCCCAGCACTTGGTAGACAGTGGCAGGTGGGTCTCTGAGTTCGAGGCCAGCCTAGTTTACAGAATGAGTTCCAGGACAGCCAGGGCTACCTAGAGAAACAAGTGCTACCATCTCTTTTGTGTCTTCCTGTGGAAAAAGGAAGGGAGGGGAGCGGGAAGGAAAGGAGGAGGGAAGAAAGGAAAGGGTTGGCACAACCCACTGAACTTCCCTTGTCTTCATTGCATCATTATTAAGTCAGTGGTAAAAGCTGTATAGCTATCCATATAGATATATCTATATACCACATATATATCAGTATATAGAGATAAATACAGTAATCCAACTCCATTATTTGCAACATGTTCACACAATTGTGCCTGTTTTTCCTCTAAAATATCCTAAGTAACCTGCAGAGGGCGCACTTTCCCTATGTTTGCACCTCCTCATACTTGAGCAAAAGAACAGGAAGTTTTATAAGATTAAAAAAATTCTCCAGCAAATAAGTAGAGAGGTTCAACTTCTCTTTTTTTTCTCTTTACTAAATGTTGGAAAGTGAAATATGCAAAAAGTATAGCAGTGAAGGCAGTCTCTTATTAGATTTTTCAGTAACAGAAAAATCAATTTCAAGACTGTAGTCTATATCACAGAAATCCACAACTGGTCAAAATGCAATGGATACATATATAATATAGCACAATACAGTCCATTGCAATACAGTCCAGTGCAGCACAATACAGTATATCACAACACATGACAATCCAATCCCAACACCTAAGGCTCAGGGAACACTGCAGAAGAGGTGGGTTGTAGCAGCCAGAGGACAAGGATGCCTACCTACTATAAGATAGTGTAGGGAAGCTACACCCATGAAATCTTAACAATAAGGTCACCTAAACAAGGAGACAACAGCAGTTGACATCCAGAGCGGATGAGGGAAATCTGAAAGGCTCCACCCTTAGATGAAAGAGTTACAGACAACCATGGCTACTTAGTAAGGGAAAAGCAGTCTTCTCTTGCTAAGAACCCTTAGTAGGTTATACAGTTTGAAGTAGTCATGAATTTGAGCAGAAGTGGGAAGGATGTGAGCTGAAAGGATGGAAGGATAGGGTGGAAATGATGTAAATACAGTACTCAAGTGTGAACTTCCCAACAAAACTGTGATCTCATTCACGGACTGATTCTTTTCCAACTCACCGCCTCCCTGCAATTTCCTGTTTTACCTTGTTCTTTTCATTAATTTATTTTTATTCTTGAGACAGGGTCTCACTGTGTAGCCCAGGCTGGCCTGGTACTTGCTATGTAGACCAGGCTGGCCTTGAATTCACAGAAATCTACTTCCCCCTGCCTCCTGAAAGCTGGGATTGAAGGTATGGGCTACCATACTCAACCTTTATCATACTCTGTCTCTCTGTCTCCCCCCTCTTTGTTTTCATGCTGAAATCTGCTTGTATTTGTCCTTCTTTCTGTATGGGTATTATCCAATGGAAATATAATGTAAACTGCATATGTAATTTAAAATGTCTTCATAGTCACATTAAACAGCAAAAAGAAACAGGTAACATTAATGATATATATTTTATTAATTTTACCTTATTTTTAAATCATCTCCACACAGACAATACAAAAATATTAATGAATATTATTTTTGGTGGGTAAGTTACATTTACAGCCCATTCCAAATTAAAATGATCACATTCCATTGTTCAATAACCACATGGGAAAAGCACCCACTGTATTGGACAACACATCTCTCTCTCTCTAACTTCCTTCTTTCATTCAATTGCCTCATCCCTAACCACGCTAAGGGAAAGCAGGGCCCTACAAAAAAATGCTGGGCATTCAGACACCCCTCATGTCGAAGTATCCACCAGTTTGGATAGTGTAGGAAACACAAGAAACCACCTGAGTTTCTTCTGAGACTGTCACCAACATCTGTAATCTTTTTCCTAGGATAGAAGTAGCATTTCTTAGGCAGTCAGTTTTTCAGGGGCTCAGATCCCCTCTTTCACAGCTTGAGGTGCCCCCTTTATTCTCCTGAGAACTCATTTGCAAGTGCATACAGCCTGCCATCTGTCGGATCTTTCCTATGTGCTGGAGCGCGTGTCTAATTAACTGTTCACACATCGAATTCCATTTGTTGTTTACAGTATCCTTTTAGGTATTTTTATTATCCCCTCTGTTTTAAAGAGGAGAAGGCAAGTAGGGGAGGCTTAGAGGTGTTGATCAACACACTCCAGTTAGAAGATTGCTGAGCTGAGATCTCAGGCTGGATATGGACACTTCCAAATCTAAGGTTTGTAGCTTTACTAATAGTGTCTCCCAAGTAAGTGGTGGTTGTTCTAACTGGCAAGAAAAGCAAGACTTGGGTAATCCTGTAATAAGACCTTCCTGTTTTTTTAGGGAAAAACCACTTTTCTGCCCGGGGTGGAGGGAGGCTGAGTGGCTTCTCCCATGAACATCCAAGATTGGCGCTCATGCTGTTAACTCAACCTTGATGCCCTTTCCCTTTATTAGAAATGTTTCCAGATTTAAACCCTAGTTTATAAAGACCATTTAATGACCCTGTCCAAAGAGGTTTCAGATTCTTCCCAGAGCAAAAAAGAACTGCCATGAAAAGGTTTGCGTGAGGTCATTGGTCTCATCGCGACTTTGACTTGGCCTTGATCTTTATTTAGCGTTTTAGTTTTATGTTCTGCAACAAGTTTGGCCATGTTGGAGGACCATCCAAAGGTCAGCGAGTTGGCTGCTGGTG